CCGGGACGCACACATACCCACAGATTGGGTGCACGCCAGCCACCGGCCACCCATGGAGCGCCGCCGCAACCCGCCACGGCACAGCCCGCCACCATCGTCCCGTCGGAGAGCCGTCGCGCACAGCCCTTAGCCACCACCCGTCGCCTCCGATCGGCACCTCACACGGCGCAACACTCGCGACGCCCACAACCACCACCCGGTCCCGACGCAAACAGCAGTCGCTCGCCTGCCGTCCAACAGTCTCTGCCCGTTGTTGTTTGACGAGAAAGATGCGCCGGCGACGCCACCGCCTTCCCTACAGCCACATCCACCGGTCCCGACGCCGTCTTGCTCGTTATTTGTATGGTGGCGTCAGTCGACACCGGAAAATTGTTAACAGCCACCAAAATCTGATAGCAAGGGTTAGGGAATAAGGATTTGATGCACTGCCTTATTTCACATTTTTTAGAATTAGATATTTCTTAGGGGCTTGATTGCAAATTTGTAAATTTTGATTAATTGAGAATAAATTAAAAGGGGTTTTACGAATACGCCTGCTGATATGCTCAAAAATCCATTTCAGGGATTTTGTAAATTTTGATTAATTTTCACAGGATTTTGTAAATTAAAAGGCCCCTGCCTCGAATTTCCTTCATTTTACAGTAAACTTTTACTATGGTAGAAACTAGCAAGGGATTCCTGTTTGTTTAGTTTAAAGAAGTATCATAAAAACATGAAAAGAGAATGAAAATATTGAATGCATAACCAGATCTGTAGCCATAATGGTTTTCTTGCACAAAAAGGGAATCTGTTCTATTGCATTGATATCGAGAGAGCTGCTCACAGGTTAAGGATACATATATATCATATGTGTGTGTGTGTGAGATGTACAGGTGTTACTATTTCATTGGATACAACCTAAAACATCATAAGCCCTAACAGCCTGTCAGTTTGTCTTGCATGTATGGTGACGAGGCTGCATGGCTCCAAATTTGTACTGACTGTGATTCTTTGACTGACTTGTTTTGACTAACTGCTTTGATCCTTTAATGTGCCCCCGCAATCCAAGCAACGGCTGAGAACTTACATTAAGTTTGTCTCGAAGTCTTGTGAAGGATTGCCCATTGAGAGGTTTAGTCAAAATGTCACCAATCTGATCAATGGCAGGTACATGCCTCACTGATATCAATCCTTTCATAATCTTCTCTCTTAAGAAGTGTAGGTCCAATTCTATATGTTTGGTTCTAGAATGACCAATTGGATTGGCTGCCAAATGCACTGCTCCTAGATTATCCACCCAAATCACACTAGGATCCTTGTGCTTAACCTTTAATTCATTTAGCAATGAATTTATCCACATTACCTCACAGACAGAATGTGCCAAACTTCTGTATTTGGCTTCAGTTGATGACCTAGACACGGTTGCTTGCTTCTTTGAACTCCATGATATGAGATTATGTCCCATGAAGGTACAAAAACCTGAAGTTGATCTCCTATCATCTATGTCTGAGGCCCAGTCAGCACAGCAAAACCAGTGATATTGAAGTCTGAACAAGGAGATAGTTTGAGACTGAAATGCTTTGTACCAGCAACATACCTCAAGATTCTTTTTACAGCTTTCCAGTGTGTGTCAAGGGGAAATTGCATAAACTGGCTGACCTTATTAACAGCAAAGTTAATGTCTGGCCTTGTCATGGTGAGGTACTGAAGTGCCCCTACCATTCTTCTGTATAAGTAGGCATCATGAAAAGGGTTCCCAATATTTTTAGATAGGGCTGGTGTTGCAACCATGGGAGAATTAACTCCCTTTTCCCCCTGCATGCCAGCCCTATGTAAAATCTCATCAACATAGCCAGACTGGTTCAAGTACATTGAACCAGAATCATAAACAACTTGAATGCCAAGAAAGTAATGTAATTTGCCCAGGTCTTTTAGAGAAAAATGAGATTGTAAGGCAGTGACAGTGTTGTCAATGGCTTCTGTGGAACTCCCTGTGATGATAATATCATCAACATACACCATGACAAACAGGCTAAAGTGGGAAGAGTGTTTAAAATATAATGACTGATCTACCTTTGCAGAACTGAAACCAAGAGAGAGAAGAGTAGAGGCAAATTTGCTGGACCAGGCTCTGGAAGCCTGTTTAAGGCCATACAGTGATTTGTTTAATTTGCAAACAAGGTTGGAAGAGTTGGGAGCATGAAATCCAGGGGGTTGTGTCATATAAATTTCAGTATCAATGTCCCCATATAAGAAAGCATTATCAACATCTATCTGTCTTATATCCCAACCATGGGTTATGGCAAGAGACAAGAGAATTTTAATGGTTGTAGGCTTAATGACAAAACTATAAGTTTCAGTGTAATCAACACCAGCAGATTGGGTAAAACCTCTTGCCACTAACCTTGCCTTATGCCTGGAAATAGAGCCATCAGGACTCTTCTTCAACTTAAAAACCCATTTGCAATCAACCAATGTCTTTCCAGCAGGTAAAGGAGTAAGATCCCAGGTCTTATTCTTTGTGAGTGCCTGAATTTCAGAATTCATAGCATTTGTCCATTGAGGTGAAGATAAGGCCTCTGAAAGAGAAGAAGGCTCCTTGTAAGAAGTAACCTGGGCAGCTAAGACCTTAGGTTTGTAGATGCCATGCTTTGATCTTGTGGTCATAGGATGAGTGTTGAAATGATCTGCAGGGACACTATGAGAAGAAGGTTCAGCAGCATCTGAAGTAGAAATATGACTATGCTCAATAGGTAAATCAACATATATATGTCCTTGAAGGTTGTTGTGAACTGGTGATGAAGAGGAGCTGTGTGAAGCATGATGAAGAGAAGGAGAAGAAGGAGAGGAATGTGATGGTGATTGAGAGGATGATGATGAAGATGATGAAGATGGTGAAGTTGATGATGATGAGGGGTTGGGTGTGTCATTTAGTAGAATGATGGGAGGGTTATTTTGTTGGTTGAAGAAAGAAGCCTGTGTTGGTTGGCTTTCTGAAGAAGATAAGTTTTGAAAGGGAAAAGAAGATTCATAAAAAATGAGATGTCTAGTGATGATGATCTTTTTGTTAGGAAGAAGAACTTTGTAACCTTTAAAGCCAGGGGTGTAACCAATGAAGGTGGAAGGGACACTTTTGGGTTCAAGTTTATGTGTGTTATATGGTTTCATCAAGGGAAAACAAAGGCAGCCAAAGGTTTTAAGGTTGGTGTAATCTGGTTTAGAACCAGTGAGGGATTCAAAAGGAGATATGAAGTTCAAAGGTTTTTGAGGGGTCCTATTCATGAGATAAACAGCTGTGGAGAAGGCCTCGTCCCAGTATTTCAAGGGAAGATGAGATTGATGAAGTAAGGAAAGTCCAATTTGAACTATGGTTCTGTGCCTCCTCTCTGCCAAACCATTTTGTTCTGGTGTATATGGACATGATAGTCTGTGGAAAATGCCAGCTGAAGATAAAATAGGCTTAAGGGCAATGAACTCACCACCACCATCACTTTGAAAAGCCTTAATAGAAGTTTGGAACTGGTTTTCTACAAGAGCCTTAAAGTGAATGAATGCTTCCTTTGTGTCAGACTTCCTTTGTAAAAGATAAAACCATGTAAATCTAGTGGCATCATCAATAAAACTCACATAATATCTATGACCTTTGTGAGAAGTTATTGGGGAAGGTCCCCACAAGTCTGAGTGGATCAAATCCAAAGGTTTATAATTGTGAGAATCAGAAGAATGGAAGGGTAACTTATGAAATTTTGACTGCATGCATACAGAACATAGAGAATCTTTAACATTGTCATTAAAAGGAACATTACAATGATTAAGGGCTGTTCTTACAATATCAAAAGATGGATGTCCTAATCTAGAATGCCAAATCTCTAGACTAGAAGTAGCTTTTTGTTCAACAGCATTACAATTTAATTGAAAACTACTGAAATGTGACTGAGATAAGGTGCTTGGAGTCAAAGACTGAGGAGAGCTGCTTGACTTGGTGAGATGAAACTTGTATAAGCCATTTTCAAGAGTCCCTTCCAATAGCACTGTTCTTGTTTTGAGATCCTTCACAAGACAATAGTTGGGATGAAATTCAAAGAAAACCTCATCATCTTTGGCAAACTGAGCCACACTTATGAGATTTTTGTTTAGATTAGGCACATGAAGGAGGTTATTAAGATGAAGGGTATTTTTAGAAGGACATATTATCATTGATTTACCATAATGTGCAATAGTCATACCTGCTCCATTGGCCACTTGAATTCTGTCACTTCCATGATAATCATTTGCAAGGCTGAGGTTGTTGAGATCATAGGTGAGGTGATTGGTTGCTCCTGAGTCAGGATACCAGCCTAAATCTTGAGAGTGATTCTCTGAAGTTGTATCTCCATAATTAGTGGTGAGGTTTGCTGAGTAACCAGACTGAGAGTTGTAACTGTTGCTTGAATTTCCATGGTTACCTCCTGAGTTTCCTTGATTTCTGCCAGCGAAGTTCATATCAAACCTATAATAGCATTTGTCAGTTGTATGGTTGTTATAACCACATATCTGGCATTTATATCTTCCACCTCCACCATATCTACCACCTCTACCTCTGAAGTTCCCATTTCTGCCTTGAGATCTTCCTCTTCCAGGTTGGTTCCTGCCTCTGTCATAGCCACTATTGCCTCTTCCTCCTATGTTCACTTGTGAAACTAAATTGGCTGCAAGCTGAGGGCCTTCACTTAAGCCGGCTGCACTTTCAATAGCCTCCATTCTGGCTTCAAAGCTTTGGATGACAGAATAAGCCTCAAACAGTGAAAATTTATCATTTCTTGAGGTGATAGACACAACTACTGAGTTGTATTCAGCTCCTAATCCAGCAAGAAGGTGGAGGATTTGGTCACTTTCGTTGATGTGATGACCAGCCATAGCCAACATATCACATATGCTTTTCATTTTGCTAACATATTCCCTCACCTTCATATTTCCTTTCTTGAGAGTCTGCAATTCCATTCTGAGCTGCATCTGTTTGGCTTGGCTTTGGCTTGCAAAACTGATCTTCAGACAATCCCAGATCTCCTTTGAGGTATTAAGGCCAACGGTGGTGATGAGAATATTCTCAGAGAGAGAAGAAAGCAGCCATGATACAATCAATTGATCTTGTCTCACCCAGCTTGCAAAGTTGGGATTTGTAGACAGATCTGTGGTGTTTTGCCCTGGGATGAATTTTTCTGGTTGAGGTAGCTCTCCTGTGACATACCCTTGCAAGCCGTAGCATCTGATGGCAGCAAGAACTTGTTGCTCCCAAATCAAATAATTTCCTTCATTAAGTTTAACTGAAATTAGTTGGCTTTGCAACTGAACAAAGTTTTCAGCAGGATTTGGAGATAGAGAGGATGTTGTCATTCTTGTTGATAGTCAAACACGAAATGAAAAATGAACAGAAAAGAGATGAGAAAAAGATGTATGCAGAGACAGGCTAGCCTGCTCTGATACCATAAAGAAGTATCATAAAAACATGAAAAGAGAATGAAAATATTGAATGCATAACCAGATCTGTAGCCATAATGGTTTTCTTGCACAAAAAGGGAATCTGTTCTATTGCATTGATATCGAGAGAGCTGCTCACAGGTTAAGGATACATATATATCATATGTGTGTGTGTGTGTGAGATGTACAGGTGTTACTATTTCATTGGATACAACCTAAAACATCATAAGCCCTAACAGCCTGTCAGTTTGTCTTGCATGTATGGTGACGAGGCTGCATGGCTCCAAATTTGTGCTGACTGTGATTCTTTGACTGACTTGTTTTGAGTAAATGCTTTGATCCTTTAATATAGTTTGTGTTTTCTTCTTACTGTGGTGTTCCTGTGTAGATTCATGTTTGTTTAGTTTGTGATTTTGGGTTAGAAGTTGTTGCTTTTGCTGTTAACGGTCTGTGGTTTTTGTTAAGTTCTTTTAGTTCTTTTGCTTGTTGGTGGGANAAAAAAAAAACTAGAAAGGGATTTGAAAATTTGAGAAAATATTAAAAGGGATATACTTTGGAGAAAACAAATTTGAGAGACACTTAGAACAAATATGTAATTTAGAAAAAATATTATGAAAACTATTATTCTCCATATTTTTTTTATACATGTATATTAAAGTAATAAATAAGAAATATGAAATAAAAATTGTTAAACAAATATTGTTAAGTATATTGTATAATATAGTATTGGTAATAACTCACACAATATAATGCACAATATTGTTAAACAAAATGCACATTAGTTATAAGCGGATTGCACATTACTAACTGACAAATTGCACCATAGTGATCGAAACCGACAAATGAGATTTTGGGTCCAAGTTTTATATTATAGTTTGATTATTTATTTTTATTTTTAAAATTTCGATTAATTCGATTTGATACCCCATTTATTTATTAAAATAACCGAAACAGTCCAACTATATAAAAATATTATTTTTTTATTTGTATAGTTTAGGTTTTTACAACAAAAGTATTAGAAACATATTAACTAAAATATTCAACTACTAAATATATTTTCTATAATATAATTTTAAAACTATTTCGATTATTTATGTTAATTCAGTTATCCGATCAAAATAAACTAACAATTTTGTTCGGCTTTATTTGGTTTAGGACAATATCATAAGAAGTGTATGCAATGCGATTGCACAATTGTGTTAGTTGAGATGCACATTAATGACTATCATATTGCATCATAGTGACCGAAGCCGGCCGAACTAAGTTTTTGGGTCCGTGTTTTATCTAACAATATTAACAAAAACATTAAACTACTAAACATAGTTTTAATAAAATGTTAAAATAATGAATATATTTTTTATGATAATAAATTATTTTAATTATTTAGGTTAAATCAATGTACAATTATATGATAATAAATTATTTTAATTATATTTTAATTATTTAGGTTAAATCAATGTACAATTATTTAGGTTCAAAAACACGTAATTTATATGTGATCGTATAAAGTAGTGCACTTTATATATCAACATAATGCACTTTTTAAATAAACAAGATAAACAAGTTGCACTTACAGTAGTTCAATCTATACATCAACACGTTGCACTTTATAAACAATACGTTGCACTTTATAAAACAACACGTTGCACTTTACAAAACACCACTATACACGTTATCACGATTATCGGATTGCACAATAGAAATCGAAACCGTCTGAATTCAAAAATTTTCAACAAAAAATAAAATAAAATAAAATAATTTTTTTTTTATAATTTCATATTCACATATGACATTAATGTATTATTATTGTGCATAAATTAGTCTTCATTAAATTATAAATTGCCATCCACTCATACAAATATACATAAATTTAAAATTTTATAAATTGCAAAATAGTCCCCCAAACATATTTAATTTCCCAAAACAAATCCCTAACCAAAAACACAATCCCCGTCACTCATCTCAGTCCAAATCGCCGTTTTCAACCACCGGCCGCCGGAGTCGCCGTCAGCCACCGCATCTCCGCCATCCTCGCCGCCGTTCCATGTACCAAAATCAGCCCTAAATTGCACAAATCATAAAAACGGCCAGACACACTCGGGGACGACTTGTACTATGTTGAAATAGACTCGTCACCGGCAAATGCACCGAGAGGCCGCCTGAGCCTCCGCCTCTTAGGCTTCCTCGCCGGCGCCTCCTGCCGAGAAGAAATGAAGGGCCCGCTCGGGGCTGCTGGAGAGGGGTGGAGGGGTGTGGTCGCAGGCGCAGCATATTCGTATTCAGACCGGCGGCCGGCGATGAGGAGATCGGCGGGAGGAAGTGCTTGCGGACATTCTAATCGTCGAATTTTCGCTAGAGACCTACTGCGTCGCGGTGGATGCGTGGCGGAGGCGCGGTGGAGACACGGCGGCAGCACGCCTGCTGGTGAAGATGATGGTGAGAAGTGTGCTGAGTGTGTGTAATATGTGTTTGTGTGTGTTTGTGTGAAGCTGTGTGTGCGAAATAGAGAGAGGAACTCAAGAGAGAGAATGAGTGGGGAGAGAGAGAGAGGAAAGATAATGAGTGGGGAGAGAGGAAAAAGAATGAGTGGGAATGGAGATGGTGCGTGGAACCTGGCATGTGAGTTGTCAGTTCGGGTGTTTTACTACATTGCCCTTCTACCTACATGTATGACATCAATATTCATCAGTAATTACGATTATGCCACCGTTAATTCAAAGTTTGCTGAATCCATCTCTACCGTTCAAACGCGAAATCCTGTGGTGTAAATCTATTCTCAGTTCTTTCATTATACCTCTTTCTCATATGATCCTTTCTATATATATATATATATATATACTGTCTCGTACAGATTGTTTCAAATGGCTCCTGGATTAGTTCGTAATCCAAAAGCAAGAATCATACCAAATAATTCTCGGCAGATTCTCATGGAACACATAACAAGAGGTTTAACAAGGAATAAAACTCGACAATCCGAGAAAACCGAAATGGCATCAAATAAAGTGAAAAAGGGATTGCCAATAACAGATGGTTCGTCTATAAAAAGCAAAACTGTGAATCCGACGTTCGAGGGAAACATGCCAACTAATCAGCCTCCTCAAACTCATCAAAAGGAGAACACTCTTATGCCAGAAGTTCAGACTCCTCAAACTCAACACAAGGAGAGCACTCTTTTGCAAGAAGTTCAGACTCCTCAAACTCAGCAACAAGAATAGAGGACTCGGCAAAATCAAAGTCAGCAAAATGGAAGCACTCCTCATTCTCCATTACAAGAGGGAAGTCAACATACTCAATCACCTCAGGCAGATATCATTGGTAAGAATCTCCAAAACCGTTGTGATTTTACAGTTGCAAAAATATGATAAACATGCTGTAGTTTTCGTATGTGATAATTTGTTGTTGAAAATCTGATTACTTGGCGTCGGAGTAATGTGTGCTCATTCAGATTGTTGGTGTGACATATGTGCCTGTTAAGTGGCAGTGGCATATGTTGGTGTGATAATTGATAGATTCTTCTACGTGTTTGATGTTTTGTCCATGTTAACAACAATGAGTTACCTGGTGGATTTACCTGGTGGTTTATAAGAGATGGTTTATAAGTTTACCTCTATTTCTAATGTGGTTTGTCTTATTATAGTCTGAAAATTTGTTCTGTAGAATTTATTAGTTTCACCTCGGTTATTTGCTAAATGTTAATAAATGTGTAATTCAATAATGTTGATAAATGTGTAATTTCAAGAGAGAAGAATGGCCAGAGGTGCAATGCAATATTCAAGAACAATAGCTACTGCAAAATCTTCATGGAAAAAGTTTGCTGCTATCTTCATTATCTATAGTTCTTAATGATGTATTGTATCTGAAACAAATTTTTAAGCACTGTGTTTTTGTTCTTTCTTCTGCTTTGTTAGGAGTAGGTGGCCAAGTTGGTCGTTGAGGGAAATCCTTGTTGTGATTAGCCAGTTTACTACTGTCTAGTATAGACTAGATAGGATTGTAATGTAATCAGTTGTGGATATTTGCTTGAGTTTAATGCATTCTGTTTTCGTTTTGGAAAAAAAATATATAGTTTGAAACTCCAGTGATTTGTATGATATAAAAAACATGACTGCTCTGCTCATTTGAACCAAAATACATGTTCCTGGTGGTTTATAAGAGATTGTTTTGTAAGTTTATCTCTGTTTCTAATGTGGTTTGTCTTATTATAGTCTAAAAATTTGTTCTGCAGAATCCATCGGTTATATGCTAAATGTTTATAAATGTGCCATTGAATCTAGTTTGATTATAAATGTGTCATTGAATCTAGTTTGAAACTCCAGTGATTTGTATAATATCAAAAACATGCTTGCTCTCCTCTTTTGAATCAAAATAAAAATACATGTGTCTGGTGGTTTATAAGAGATGTTTTATAATTTGATCTCTGTTTCTAATTTGTTTGTCTTATTATAGTCTGAAAATATGTTTTGCAGAATTCCTCAGTTTCACCTCGATTATTTGTTAAATGTTGATAAATGTGTCATTGAATCTAGTTTGAAACTCCAGTGATTTGTATAATATCAAAAACATGCATGCTCTGCTCTTTTAAATTAAAATACATGTGCCTTTGCCTTTCAGAGTTCAATAAATTACAATCTTAGGAGTGTGATGCTTTTGACTAATTAAAATAACTGAGTGGTGTATATCCAGCTTCCAATACCACCATTATGAAAGCATTCCAGGCTTGCGGGAAAAAAATGAAGGTAACTGTGGATCCATCGATAGGAAGACCTAAAAGTAGAGACGAGTCTTCAAAGTTTTCTAGTCAAATTGGTGTAGTCACTCGAGATGTCCTTCCGGTGCCAGTAAGGTGGAAAGATGTTGATGAAGAAAAAGTCTTCAACCTGGCATTGATCATATAAAGGTAAAAAGTAGAAACACTTTTCAAGTCGCATGAATACATTATTTATATCACCTTAAATAATCTCATTTTTATTTGTGTAGATCCACATGGATATTAATTTGGATGATCCGGGTGTGAAACGTTGCGTGATTGATAGAGTCCAAGCTAGTTCACGGCAAAAATGTTACAGACTACATAAACATTACAAGAAATATTCGTCTCATGAAGAAGCTAAGAATAACAAGCCCTCTTTTTGTGCTAGTCAAGAAAACTGGGAAGAAATGTGTGAGCTTTTTGCTTCGCCTAAATTCAAAGTAATGCATTATAATACTATTCTTCTATTTTGCATATTAAATTTGTAGTTTTCATATTTTTAGTTTTCTAGTGTCCAATAACATTACTTATGATTTAACAGCACCAAAGTTCGATGTGACGAATCGAAAAATGTTGCGTGCTCCACATGTCTCGGGCCGAACACCTTTTACTGTTCTTCAACATGAAATAGTAAGTTTATGTTGAAGATATTAATTTATTTATGATCATTAGTTCTTTTTTTTTTCTTTTTGAATGTAAACTCTTTATGCTTACTTTTATAAATTCTTGTAGTCTGAGAAGGAGATAAATGGAGGACCAGTAGATATGATTGAGCTTCATAAGCGTACGCAATATAAGAAAAAAGGTGGTTGGTCAACAAAAGAGGCAGAAGAAAATTGGGTAAATTGCATGCACAATCTCTTATTCTAATTGTAGAAATGAATATCAATATGATTATATAGTTTTTATTGGTATTTGTTAGGACTTGATGATATCAAGGAGAGAAAAATATTCTGAACAAGGCGCTGAGAAGAGTGCACAAGATATACTTCTTGAGGTTCTTGGCCATGGAGCTGGATATATAAAAGGTTATGGGTACGGCCCGAGGCCTCCTAGTAGACGCAAAGCATATGACACGAATGGTCAGAAGGAACTTCTAAAGACACAAGAAAAGCTGCGGAAGAAAGAGTCTGAAGTGATTGAGCTAAAGGACCAAGTTAGTGATTTGAATGCAAAAGTAGACAAACTTATGGCTTTTATGACTGCCAATGGGAACATAATTTGAGATTGTTAGCTTTGTTATTATTATTATTATTATTATTTTTATTTGGAACATTTTAAGATTGTTAGTTCGTTTATTTATGTTTTTAATTAGCAAAATTATTATTATTGTCGTTTTTTAATTTGTCATATGTTATTTATAAAGATTTTGTCACTGTATTTTCTTTTTCATGACAATTGTTTAGAGTGATGATAGTTTTTGTCACTGTATTATATATTTCATGACAAATAAATTTATAACTAAATATATGCAATTAATGACAGTTATTATTTTTGTAATAGCGACAAATTTTAAATTGTCATTAAAAATAATTTTTTTCACAACATGTAATCGTGGTGTATTGTTTGGATTTGTCACTATATAAAATGTTAAAATGACAATAAATTTTGTCACTAAATATTTACCCTTTAATGACAACTTATGTTGTCATTATATCTCAATCTTTTGATGACAATCTTTTTTTTCGTAATCATAGAGATAATAATTTATGACAAAAGAATTCGTCGTTGTTGTATAATTTTGGAGACGATGAATATTTTGTCACAACTATCTTTTTGTGACACTTTTGGTATCGTCATATTTAAAATTTAGTTTGTGACGACCAATATTTTGTAATTATAAAACAACTCTTCCACGACGAATTCTATGAAATATGACAATTATTTTAACGAATAACCACAAATATATTCGTCATTGAAATTTTATAAATTCGATAAAAAAAAAAGAATCGTCACTAAACAATAATATTTAGATGACAAATTTGAGTTTTTGTCATTTAAAACTTGTTTTTTTATGACGAAATAATCATTTACCTGACAAAATTTTCATAATAAACGTGACGAAATTATTGTCACGAAAAGTGACCAAATAACATGACGAAACTGATAAACGTCATTAAAAGTTAAACATTAGGTGACAAATTCGAAATTTGTCACCTATACCTAATATGACGCGGCTACAGTGACGATCGCTGTGACGATAAATTTTCGTCATCGATATACTGTTGTGACGAAAAACAAGGTTTGCATGACGATTTTTTTCGTCATGTTTTCTGAAATTTCTTGTAGTGCTCATAGCACAACCCTAACATATAAAACGAATATTTTATAGAAAGGGGCATGACCAAGGGTTTTCTAGTTCAAGAAGCTATAGAATGATTCACAACCTAAAAATTTAACTGCATCCTCAACATGATAAAGGACTCCTAACCTCAGAAAATCAAGTCATTTGGACGAGCCAATCTATTTATACAATTTTTCAACGTTTTGAGGCATGTGGAGCATGTTTCGGTTCAGATAGCAACAGGTCGAATTAAGGGCTGAAACTTTAACACATCATACCTCGTTATAACATGAGACAACCCTCAGAATCTCATATCAAAATAACGAGTGCACAATTTTTCATGAATTTTCAAAGTTTCCAAGGCCCTAAGGTGATCACAAGGCATAATATAAACCAAAAGACTTCAAATCCAATTTTTGGGCAACAAAATAGACTCAAGGCATCCCAAAGGAGTTCCATATCCATAATTTTCATGATTTACATCAAGATCCATAGATTTAACTTTTAATCCAAATAGATCTCTATATAATCTCATAAATCCTATTCAAATTCACAAGGATCTACATCAAATCAAGTCATATAGCACAAAATCAGAGGGGGTTCAGCCTTTGCTCACCGTACACCAGGGAATCTACTAGCTTCTGATCAGATCGAAGGCAAGGGGCAGCCTCGGGCGGCAAGGCGTGGCCTCGGCGTGCATGGGTGGTTGGCTTGCGATCTCCGGCGAACAGGCGTGGCTCACGACCTTCAGGGGTCTGCTCTCGATGTCCACGGAAGGAATATGACCATATCGCGGGGACAGAGGCTTGAGGATTGGATTGCGCGTGGGGAGAAGCCTTCGCTGATGGCAGGCATGCGCTCGCGGGGATGGTGGCTCGCCGGCGGTATGGTGGCAGCGAATGGCTGAGAAGTGGAGGGTTTGGGCGATGGATTTTGGGAGTATCTTGCTGGTTTCTCTCGTGCGTGGAGGTGGAGGATTTCAGAAATTGATGTGGGAGAGAGAGAGAGAGAGACTCAGGCCTGTGGGTTTTATTAAGTAATTGAATGAAAAATTCCTTTATAAACCAAGGCAAATCCAAGAGATGCTATATACAAATTTTAGAATTTCATCAAGGCACAATTGGGAGTGATTGGCGTGTGGTGTAGGGGAATAAGGGCTGGTCAAAGATCCCCTTGATTGG